ACTTCAGGGGTATCTGAGGCAGGCTTGAAACACAAGAGTCAGGGTGGTTTCTGGGTAATACCAGATGGCTAGGCCTCAGACTGACGAAGCCTCTTGGATGAGGGGCGAAACGTTTCTTTTTAACAAAAAAAACGAAGTCCAGATGACATGATTCAACCTTTTTTGTTGTTATATACCTGGATGACTGAGAAAACAAACTTTGTATTGTAGGAACATGTGCTTTAACCCTCTTGGCACCTGTCATGGACAAAAAGAAATTGCCAAAGCAACCAGGTGTAAGCTTCATCTGATTTATTTATATATACTGTATATAAATGTCGACCACATTATACCTCATGAGTTTTTGGAGGTGTATATCATTGTTGTCTATATAGCCCCGGATGCTAATGCTAAAGACACCCTGCAGGAGCTACATGATTACATCAGCTTGCTTCAAAACAAGCATCTGGAGACTTTGTACATGGTGGCTGGTGATTTTAATCACATAAACCTGAAAGACACTGCAAAGATTTCATCAGCATTTGACCATTCCAACACGGTGAAGTAACACATTAGACCACATTTATACTAACATACGAGACACATATAAAGATGTACCTCCGCCTCTCTGACAACATCTCCATCTTTATGGTCCCTGTCTACTTCCCCCCGCTGAGACGTTCCAGACCCACACAGAAAACCATCACTGTGTGGCCCAGCAACAGTGACTCTGTACTACAAAATTGTTTTGCATGCACAGACTGGCAGATTTTCAGGGAGGCCACTTTAAATGAGGGAGAACTGGATCTGGAAGAATACACATCTGCTGTTCTCAAAAGATGTCACCACCACCAGGACTGTGAATTGCTACCCGAACCAGAAACCCTGGCTGAATGTAGTGGTCCGTATCCTGCTGAAAGCCAGGGATACTGCCTTCAGGTCCGGCAACTCACAGGAACTGGGGAGGGCAAGGAAAGACCTGGCTACTTGTTTTAAGAGGGCCAAAGCAACTTATACACATAAGATCCAGGGACATTTCTCTTCACAAGACCCACAGAGCATGTGAAAGGGCATTAAGTGCGTCACAGGTTATAAAAACAGGGGTGCACAATGCCCTAGGGATCCATCACTGCAAGATGCTCTTAACAGGTTCTATGCCCACTTTGAAGACCCAAATAGACCACCCAGCACCAGACTCACCTCACCACCAGAAGAGGAGTTCTTCAGTGTGACCTCAACAGAAGTGTGGAGGACCTTCAGGAGGAATAATCCTCACAAAGCAACTGGCCCAGAAAACATGCTGGGGAGGGTGCTGAAAGACTGTGCCGATCCGCTCTGTGAGGTGCAGGTAGACATCTTTTGACTCCTCACTTACGCTGGCAACAGTTCCCACCTGCATGAAGACCGCAACCATCATCACCGTTCCTAAGATCTGTGCAATGACTGGTCTGAATGACTACTGGTTAGTAGCCCTCACCAGGATAGTTGCTAAATGCTTCAAAAGACTGGTCATGACCCACATCAAA